AAACAAGCAAGCTAAGCTACATGCTAAAAGGAGGCAACTTCAACTAGACTCCACCACCCAACCAGAGTTCCAGCCAATTTTACCCAAAGATAAATGCCTTCTGGATCCCAAAGAAGATGATCACCCATCCTCCTAGGTGGGCTTTGGAGAAAGCTACCTCATGCACATGTCTTAAAGATCCAGAGTTCAAGACAGAAAGTCAGCAAGACCTTTTGCTGTTCTGAACTGATGCTCTGATAGTGAGGAATGGAACATTCCTTCCCCACAGGAAAGCACAGAACTCACCCAACAGGAATCCTTTTCTGTCTAGGGCTCCGTTCTCAGCTATAATGTATAACTATGCAACACCACCACTACTAGCCTGAAGACACTTAAGTCAGGTTACATCTATAAATAAACTTGGCAGTCTTCATTTCTCAAAGGCTGGGCCCGAGGAAAAGAACATAACTTTAAAACACCTCTCTTTTCCAAGTGCACTACTGTCATGCATCTTGACCCATGGACCCAGCAGATTCTATCTCTGATAACCAAGTGTTCTAGCAACATTGTTATTTGTCTAGCATGAGAAACTTATTAGAAAATTTCAAAGCATTATAAGCCTAGGTCAACTTCCCCCACCTGGGCAAACTTTTGGAGGGGCTGGATTATAACTCTTATCATGTCCAGCTGGACAGTCCCATGGGCTGGTTGGTGGTGGATGACAGGACACATGATATACATTTATTAAATGTATTGTCAAATTTTCATTATATTTTTAAAGAAGGAATAGTTCAAAGGGTGCCATGTCAAGGAAGGCTGGCCTAGGTCTTTCAATGAGCACTGGTCCCTCTGGCCTGACAATGATGATCTTGCCTTATCTGAGCCACACTTCCGTTTTGGTATGAGAAACCAAAGAAAAGCCCACTCAGAGGCATCCCCTTCTCTTTACAGCCTTCCCTTTGCCAACCAGACTTAACATTCAAGACTTACTAGAGGGAAAACCACCACCAAAGAACATATTGAAGAGATCTTCCGGGGAAATATCAGCCTCAAAGCCTCGGTTGAAGTCTGCAGGGCCATGTCGCGTGGAGCTGACTTTTGCATCTCCAAACTGATCATACTGCTTCCTTTTCTCTGGATTGCTCAGTACTGCATATGCATTCCCAATGGCTAAAATGTAAGAAAGAAGGAAATAGTCATATTCATTCCCCTGGCAACAGCTAATGCCTTAACAGCGATTATGAGGGAACAATGTCCAGCATCTCCCAGCTTACATTCAAATCCTTCACTCACAACATCATCTCTTTCAGCCTGTGACCTCTAGCATGCTGAAGACATTAATGGAGACTATCCTAGAGACTAGAGGAAAAATTACTGATATATTTACGTGACATGCCTTGAGAACCTAGGAAACCATCTGAATAATAAATAATGACAACCATGTCTTTTTGTTTCCCATCCTTACTCTGAAAGCTCATTTAATCTTATGCAATAAAAGGTACAGGTAGTCCCCGGGTTAAGAACACCCAGGTTACAGATGACCCATAGTTAAGAACCGAGCCTATTGTAGTAAAATTCATGTTAAATAGACAATGATTCAAGTTAAATACATAATGGTTCAATTACACAATACTACTTATACAGTATTACACAATCATACTGTTCCGGCTTACATACAAATTCAACTTAGGGACAGACCTTGGGAATGCAACTCATTCTTAAACTGGGGACTATCTGTATTTCCAAGAGAAAAGTAGAGAAAAGAAAGACTAGATCTTCTGGTGCAGAGTGGGCTACACTTTGGAGCTGTATTCAAATGTTCATTTTGTCACATGACCACTGCATTTATCATGTGATTAGTGGTGCACAGCATTACTACTTTCATATTGGTTAACATTACGGTAGATTATGAGTAGGCTCTAGTTATTTTCAGACTGCAAGTATGGATTGGGGGTCTAAAACCTTCCCGCAAGCCCTTGCCACTTGGCATACTGTTAAAGCTGAGGCCCAGACATCTGGGAGGTAAGCTGTCTAAAGTGGTCTTGCCAGTAATTTATACATTATACAAAACTATATTCCAAAATGAATGCTAGTCAAAAGTGGAACCTTGCCCTGTGTTGAATTTTTCTTACTACACGTGTGAGTTTGCCTTCAGTGAATCTTTAAAAAGGCAGCAGCTCAGTAACTAAACGAAACACGGCTGAATACAGGCCCTGGACTGGATCAATAATTGGGAATTAAGTAAGTCATATGGGAGAAAAAAAAACACCCTTTCACACTGATTTCAATGAGATCTAAGTGTGATTAGTGAAGATTCGCACCAGTCCCTTACATTTTATTATAGTTTCCCTTTTTGATTCTTCCTTTCCCTTCCTTCCTTTTCTACTGACCCTTCAATTTGGTTAAGTCACTATGATTTATTTAATAAAGTGAATATTCTTCTTTGGAAAAAGTTATTCTAGAAAATATCTTCACGTTGGAATAACTAGAAATGCAAACGAACAGAAAACAGCTATGGAGCAAAGTAAATGGCAAGAACTGTGATGCAACAGAAATGAACTCAGGGTGAATAAAACATCTGCAATTACCTGAGGCACAGAGGCTATCATCAACATTACTAATATCATGGAAAAATACCACAGCCAAGTCCCAATTCATCTCGGTAACCATGTTGTTGTTTGCTTTGATTGTAGGTTCATTGCTAATATAAATTATATTTCTTTTCCCCTATATCTGACATTTTTATTCCTCAAATTAATTTTCCCCTTTACAGGAAACTGTCCTTGCCTTGAATTCCTATCCATAGTTCTCAGATGCTCAGATTTATCCTTTCATGATAAAACTCTAACACAATACTGACAGTCCCACAGCATTATAACAGAAGAGGAATAAATCTGCAATAGGTTATAGCCACGAAAGTTTAAAAAAATCAACATGAAAAATGCCAGGGACTAGGTACCTGTGCAGAAGAAATTCTGTGTAATACTTAAGGTCAAAGAACAAAAATAAATATGTCCAAATTCAGTGCATACCCATCTCATGTTTGCACTAAAACTTTTAAATTTTGTTTGTCCTTCAATGATCAGGGCTATGGTTTCACTGGAAAGCAATTCTAAAAGGGAACAGAAGCCTGAAACTTCAAAATACAATATGCTAGAAATGTAAAAGCTGGGATTTCCAGCTTTTATCAAAGCTAGGTGTATTCTTATATTCTTGTTATTTATTAACAATACAGCTATTCTTTAAAAACACGTGCTGAAACCATCTACGTGCAGAATTTGGTTTACACGGGTTTACTTTGCAAAGCTAAGAAGCATGATTAATTCAAGCAAGGTCTAAACATAAAAATAACACCATTATCAGCTGTCACTGCAAAATGGAACGTTAAAAGATCAGCTGACATCACTGACTGAAAAATATTAACCAAGGCGTTTCCAGAGAGAGAATGCTAAACACTTGGAGGGTTAACGAGAGAAATAAAACGTGCTTGGCTAAAGATAAACTCCTGGAAGATGGCCCAGTTAAGGAGGCTAAAGTGTTATTTAGCGCATGCATCACAGTTGTGACATGCAGATCTTGGAGAAGCCTTCAATAAACATAATAATATAAAGTCTACAAGTGAAGAAACCTGTGTAGTGTTAGTTTTGTGCTAGATGCTTTGTGGATGTCTAGACAAGAACGGTTTTAATCTGATTCTAACACATTAGGCCTAAGTTTAAAACCTGAAAGAGTGCTGTGTTTCAAATCCTGCTACAACTTTCCAATTTTAGGCTGCAATTAAGCCTTCAGCATTATTACTCAAGAAATAGTAGTTTCAGGTTTGAAAAAAAAAATCCCTTTGAACTATATTTCGCTCAGTTGACAAACTGAAATGGAAACATTCAGTTTTAAAGCTGTGTTTGAATTCAATTACTATATTAATTTCTAGTTGCAATCCATGGCACTAATTGTGAAGATCACAGAGGGATCATTTAAGCATCTTAATGTTTAGGCATAACCTTAACTGTCCCAGCAAAATCAGTGGGTTTTGCAGTATAATCCCATGTGTAACTTTGAAATGATTCCTCTGTGATTTTCACACTTAATTGTGAAGCTTCACTTGTATTCAGGATATGTTCAGACTGATTGACATTTTCTGACAAGTATGTTTAGGGTCCCATACTTGTAAATATAAATGCATCTAAGACTATAGTCTTACACAGTGTTCTTATGTCATCTCTTTAGAAGTAAGAAATATCAATTGCAATGGAGCTTACTCATGGAGAAGTGGGTATCTTCATGTGCCAGCCTTTAGCACAGAACTCAAACTTTTAATCAGTTGGGCATATGTTTCTTTTCAGTGCTTATAGTTAAGTTCAACTCTCCGTTTAATTTATTTACTTATGCACCGAATTACTAGGGATTGCAATAAACACCATCAACCCATTCATATGCTATGTAGCTCCCATTGCTACCCCTTCTTGCAGCAGCTGTAAAATGTAGTTGAGAAGTCTCTGTATCAAATGCATAAAACGAGTAAGTTAGTTTCATGTATATTTATTTTACAAATTATTTTTTTACTAGATTTTTTAGAGCATTTAGCATAGCAAGAGGCAATTTATTATACCCTTTCCACTTCCTTTTTAATGATTAAACCAACAACCCCCAATCCTCTGGTGGACTTCTGTCACTAAAAGGTATAATTTTCAGAGTATGAAGACATGCTTCTTGAAAGAAAAGGGTATTTTACCTTTAAATGCCTCTGTGGCACCTGGTGCATGATTTTTATCAGGATGAAATTTCAGGGCTAATTTCCGGTAGGCCTTCTTCAGATCCTCATCAGAGGCATCCCTGTTCACGCCCAGAATTTCATAATAGTCTTTACATTGTTTCACCCTAAAAGTTGAGACAATCAGACAAAACACCTCATCTGAGAGAGATAATCTATTTAAAATTTAACTTTCTATTTCTCCTGAATTAAAACTCTTACAATACAGTCCCTTACTTTCCTTGATAGAACCCAAAATATTAATTGCTGCTGTGATTCTTAACCATGGCATGCAATCATTTTCATTTCTTTCCAGGTCCAGGTTAAATCAACCAATGCATTTATTTCATTTTTTTCCCTCCATGTAAAGCTTGTCCTTTATCTATCCGCACAAATTTTGGAGGTCCCTAGCCACAAATTATATATCCTCAAAAAATTATCCTCAAATTGATACAAAGATCAGACACTTCTAAAGATCACTCAACCCTGTGAAAACGCTGCCCCCAAGTGGCACAAACCTGTATTACTTTAAAGAAAAGAATTTGGGAACTACACATAAACGGCAGAAGAAGGCTTTTCTAAAAAAAGAAAAAAAAACAACCCAGCCCTTTAGACATGAAAAAAATCTGGATTGTTTCAAAATCCAGATTAAAAGAACACTAAAATAATATCTTATATAAGAGTGGTGTATCTTTCCACTTCAAGCCAAATTAATTGTAATTTAAAAAGCAAATTATAAGCAGCCAAACAAACCATTCACATGGGACAAAAATTTAACCGGTTGGTCTTTAGCCATATTGACAGCTCCTGCTTCAATACAGTAAGACATCCCCCAGAAGCCTTTTGAATCCCCTCTCCCTTCCCCAAAGACTGTGGACTGCTGCAATCGATCAATGTGGCATTGCAGCTGCACCCCCAGCTGCTCTTCCAACTATCGCTGTAACTGTGGTCTCTTGGTCAGAATCTTAATTCAGGCTTACCTCTTCACAGCATCCACTTGATCCTGAGTGTAACCTTTGCTGATATCACCCCCTGCTTCTCCATTGGCAGAAGCAAAATCCTCACTCCTTTTCCGACAACTGGGGTTGGTGGACTCCTTGTGCTGTGAACGGTCATCAGCTGGCTGTTGGCTCTCAGTGAGTGAGTCCAGCAGTGCTACAAGGAAAAAGGCACAGCATTGATCCACTGCTTATGTTCTTGCAAACTGATGGGGGTTTTTTTCTCACAGTCACTGGCAAATGTTCTCATTTCACACCTCAAATACACTTTTTGCTGTGCTTCTTCCATTTCCAATAAAATCAGGCAGGCTGAGTTGGGTATTGCTCTGATCACCAAACAGAAAGAGTGTCACTTAATACATATAATCTATTGACAAATCTTTTCATTGCAACAAATCAACCATCCCTTAAGCTTTTGTTTGGTTTCATCCAGAAGACTCCAGCAGTTTCTTCATTTCTTTTTGAGCAGCAAGTATAAAAATGTGCATGATATAATAGGCAGATTTCAAAATTTCTTGCAAATCATTAGAAACTCAAAACAGAAAGATTGCTTTCTGATACCCTAGAATTTTCCTTGTTTGTATGAGATCCAATACAGTGTTTCAGAATACTTATTCTGTTATATTCTTGAAATGGGGTATCTCCCAAAATTAAAATTGTATACATAAAACATAGTCATAATCATTATGATTATTTTTAGTTGTGTCTTACATTTTGTTTATAGGCCTTTTTATTACATTGGAGGGTTTTGTGGATTGGTTGTTAGCTGCTCAGAAATAATTATTTAAGATAAGTAGTCATATAAAGTTTGCAAACAAATAAATAAATAAATAAATAAATACAGTATCACATACTAAAAACAGGAAATCAAAACAAACAAGCAGGTAGCATTCAGCAACGTACAGAACACCCAAATTAATTTTGCTCGTAAGATCCTCACTTATCCTACTTCATGCCAAGAATTATGTTGAGCTCATATTATGACAGTCATCAGGATCTTTTAAATCACATTTCTTTGAACAAACCATAATGATTTGGCTCACCCATAACACTAAACCATCATGAGTGAATTCCCATCATATTGTCAGAAATAAATTAATCACATTCTGGCTTAATGTTATGGGTAAACCTTGCAAACAAAACCTTTCAACACCATAGAAATGGTTAGAGGAATAGAGAAAGCATTACCATAACTGTGTTGCAAAAATCTGGATGACAACTAGACAGCAACAATGAGTCTTCTCTATCTCTTTGCTTCCATCTAGTGGTTTTCCAGATTTTTGTAGGCTACGTATGGAATGTCTAAAACAAAGGGAAAAAAGAGCACATTTAATGGGATATCCTCAGATGGAGTATTAGTTACATCCATTTCCAAAACCACAGTGGCTACCAGCTGTCAAAATGTACAAAGGCCAGATGTAATAGTGATAATTTCTAGTACTTTAATTCCACTTTGGCAAAGAACATGAATCTCAAGAGCTTAAGAGCCCCATCAGATCCAGCTTTACCATAATGTTAATGTTCTCACAGAGCCAAATTCAAAGACAGTATTTAAAAGTAACTATTTAAAACATATATTTTTTCCCTATTAGTTGTCAAACAACAACTATGGCACTGGTTAACATATAAGCCAAAACCTTAGTCAGTCTATATGAAATCGCCTTATTTGGAGACAGATCATCTAGCTTTGTCTGTTTTGATTGGCTATGACTTTCCAGAGTCTTGGAGAGAGAATTTTTTCCTCACTTTGTAGTACCTGATCCACTTAAACTAGGTGCTAAGTTTTGAATGTGGGACCTACTATATGCAAACCATTAATCATTAATCTTTCCAACAGAGTTATGATTGCGTCCATCCTACTGGGTGCTTAATATGGCGGGGATAGGAAACCTGCAGTTTTCTACACGCTTCTGAATTATAATTCCAACATTCTTTAACACTGACAAGGCTCCATGGCTGAAGGGAGTGAAATTATATAAAGTAGCACTTAGACCTAGTTACTTTTCCCAGCAAAATCCTATCTTATGATAAAACCAGATGGAACCACAAGGTGTACAGAGCATGATTTCTCTGCAGCAACTCTATTGTTGCTTGAAATAAGAGATGCTGTTTTGCATTCTGCTTGAATTGTTTAGTACTTATTTTTGTCACTGCACAGAGAATACTATGTATTATGATACTCCAAAAGGCTACTCAACAGCATTTCCACCAAGATATGTTACTCAATATTACTAAACAACAAATATATACAGATCAGCTAAGGTCTGATAGTGGCATAATGCCATGGACAAAAGTCTGTCACTTTCTTCCTTCTCCTGGAAGAATACCAAAGTTATATGCTTTAACCTTGGTAAGGAAATAAGATTCTTCTTTACCAGTGGTTCCCAAATTATGCTCTAGGGAGGTAACTGTGTGTGGCCTGTGAGAAGGAAAGATAATGTTCTAAGTTATCATTCATAAACATCTTATGTGTCAATATTATGTGCAATATATTTTGCTTCATTCTCTGATTGTGTTGTGAAGTTGCTTTGAGTACCCTCTGAGTAGAAAGAATTGTGAATGAGCGATGGCATTCCAATTCCACTCTTGGAGGAAACTAATCTTCTAGACCAATTTTAGTTGGAGTTCAGGCTTAAGTTTTGAGACAAAACTGGTCTTGATTGGCCCTCAGTTACTAGGACTCAAATTCTCAGCAACATTTTATAGCACTTAATCATAGCATCTAACTGAATATTTCTGTGAATTGAGGATTTAGTTTCAGACTGGTGGCCTTCCAGACTGGTGGCTTTACAGTCATTAGTTTCAGACTGGTGGCCACAAAATGCAACCTTATCTCCAATGCTATTTAATATTCATATGAAACTGCTGGAAGGAGTCATTAAGCGATCTGGAGCACACTGTCATAAGAATGCTCTATTTCTCCACTCTCCAGGTAGTCCTCGAGTTATGACGGCAATTGGGACCAGAATTTCTGTTGCTAAGCAATAATCACATGACTGCATCACTTAGCGATGGCAATCCCAGCACTCTCCATTGCTGTCGCTAACTCAGTCCCAATGGTCGTTAGCCGAGGGCCCACCCCAATTCACGCCATTCCCAGCTTGGTCCCTCCCAGCCCTAAGCCTCAGTTCTTCTAAGGTAAGGGACTGCCTCCTCTTCAATTCCCCCAACTGCCTATTCCCCCCCCCCATCTCTGCCCTTTTGGCCATCCTGTACCCTGCCTTGTGGGGCAGCAAGCAGCCCTAGAACTGCACAGCTCTGGAGCTACTTGCCTTGCCTCACGCTCCGCGCTTTTTCGTCTAGTCCACGCCCCATGGCGGGAGTCACCCCCGCGACTGCCCAAACGCCGCACGCAACCCGGGCGCGGCG